GGCAGCTGCCCGGAGCGGAGTTCCCTGCTCGGAAAGTGGGGCAAGTGGGTCCGTTTTCAAGGCGGGACCTAAGCAAAATGTGGGTCGAAGGACGCTGGTAACGAGGGAACAGGATTTTAAAACGTGTACCTGCAGTTTCCTAAAGGATGCGGGGGAAAATAAAAATGCAGTATTATGAAACAGGCATCGGCGTTCGCCCAGTTTTTTGATGGCTGAGTTCGCAGGGACCAGGTGAAAACTCGTTTCATGCTCATCTGCTGCTTGCCGTGGTGCTAAGGGCAAATTTATTTCTTGTTTTAGTATCGCCAAAATGTTTTACTGCGTGTATCCACCTATTGAATAAGTGTATTCATAGAGGGGCATTCACTGGTTTATCATCCAGTTCTAAATTTATGATAATCTTTTATCGTAACATGGTGTCCTAACTGTGATATTCCAGAAGCTTCTTGGGAGTTTGTGTGGGGAGAGGATGGGATGAAAGATGAAATTTAAAAATAGAAAAATAATCAGTGTTCATTGTTACGAAAAGGACTAATATTTAGTGTCTTTCACTTTTGCTATTAGAGAATTATGATTTTCTTTATCATTATGTAGGTTTCTCTTTGAATTTACTTCTGTCGCAGCCACATTTTTCTTAGTATATTTATTTTTGAGGGTGATTGTCCAAAAATATGAATAACTTTTCATGTTACAAATGACATGCACACACTCACATACACACTCATACACACACACCCATTTTAAAAAGTGTCAATTTGAAGGACCGATTTTAACACTACTGTATGTGGGGTCAAAGTTATAAAACTTAAATTAGCTTTTTGGGGGGTGGGGATCTGGGGATTAAACCAAGGCCTTGGCACTGAACTATATCCCCACCTCAGGTGCCCAGCCTGAGCCTGAACTTTCCATCCTCCTGCCTCAGCCTCCTAGAGTGCTGAGATTAGAGGTGTGTACCACCATTCCTGGCTTGAGGGATGCTTCCTGAATGGAATCGGAATGTGAGAGAATTGGCTACCCTAATGTTTTAGGTAGATGCTAGATGCTCATCTTTGAATGAAAGGTATGTATTCTTTATTATTAAGAAAAGCAAATATTGTTTTGTCTCACCTTTCCTAAATTAGAGATTGTATCGGGAGCCACCGTGGCTTCTTGCGTCTTAATTGGATGGGTATTTCTCCAGTTCATCTTCTTGGCCAGCCCCAAAGATTTTGGAGAAAAGGACTATAGGGAATAATCTAGGACAGCTTCCTCTTCCTCCTCCTCTGACGGAGTGTGTAATTTTAAAATAAATTACATAACATTTTGTAGTATAGTCAAATTATAATTAATACCATTTGAAATCGAAAAGAAACACAACCGTAGTCCAACCATTGAGAAGTTACTCCTTGTAAACACACTCTTATTTTGGAATGTATTTTAAGAAAATCTGTGCTATTCGTTTGAGTAGCAGGTTGAGAGTATTCTCCTACCGGCCTCTGTTGTAACCAAGTATAGTATAGCTTGTTTGAATTTATGTCACTGAACGTAGGGGGCTGAGAAAGAAAATACTCTTGTCTCAAGGTAGATCAGTGCTGATGGCCAAGGTGGGATTTGTTGCTCTGCACTCTCCGCGCCCCCACCTTTTCTGAAAAACTTTCTCAATTTGAAAATTAGGATGAGTCAAATAGTTGAGGAACTGGATTTTTAAAAGATAGCTTTTAATCAGTAAATTAATGCGTAAGTTTTAATGGCGGACGTTGAAATGTAAATTCCACACTCGTTATAAATACATAATGTCAAAACTGTGATCTCTAAACTGTATTGGGAGAAGGAGTTCCAATTATCACAGAGTTTGGGGGAAAAAATGAAAACATCTTTAAGAGCCTTCTCTGATTCAATTTTCCGAATAACTACGCTGTTCTGAGCTGTCCAGTTCTATTCCCAAATGTGTGACCACAGTATCACCAATCGTTTGGAAAGCAGTAGGAGACCAATTGTATAATTTCTTAGCATACAAAAACCAGCAACTCCTAGGGCTGGTGTAGATTTGAACCACAAACTTAACATATTTTCCCCAGAGTTTGCTGTCAGCTGCGTACAAAGTATGGGAGCGGGGACTGGCCCACATACTTGTTTAAGCTTGTTTGCCTTACGCTGTGTTCCACACTGAATCCTCCTTTTTCTTTTTGTTTATATTTTGTTATGTTATATTTTCACACTTGAAAGTGTGAAAGTTCTTCAAACAAGTTGCCTTAAGGGGAACCTTTTTGTATTATAAAGTGTAAAGGACTCCACTGTCTGATAAAGGTTACAAAATCCTGGAGAACACCTTTAAATTTACTTTTCTGCAAATAATTTATAATACCTACCTCCAAGATAGTTTGAGGATGAAATTAAATAATACTGTATATGCAAAAAATAGCAAGTGCAAGCTGATGCTCAATACTGTTTAGTTCCTGTCTTTGCTGTAATGATCTCTTTTTCAAAACTAACATTGAATAATTGCAAAAACTTAATGACTGCTACTCGAGTCATTCCTGAATGTGTAGAATGTGTAGCTCATACTTAGCCTCAGGAGTTTTGACTTCAAGCTGGGTTGTCTAAAGGCCCTGTTCACCTACTAGCCAAGTACTGTGTTGAGCTGCATACTGCACCAGTGCTTACTGAAGCTTCTGGTTTTCTTTGTAATTTAGTGGCACCCAACTCTGGCTCTATCTTAGACTCAGCTGAACAGCTTTTAATAATTTTTGTACTCAGACATCAAACCAGTCTGACTAACCCAGAGCTATTAAGGGTGGGATTCAGGCATCTACATTTTTAGAAGTTCCTGAAGAAATTGCAGCAGAGAGCCCATATGGGAAACCGCGTTCTAGGCTTTGCTAAGAGGTGAGTACTGTGTAGAAAATTTAGTTTCACAAAGGCAACATTTTCATGGTGTCTTATAGTCCTTCCTTTAAACCACAAGAGTGTTTTTAAAAGTTTGGGCACATCTATGTATATGTCCATCTACAGGACTTTGTATTATTTAAATGAAAATTTAGGGTACAAATACTTAACTGCAACTCCCTATAGCAGTACCAGCCAAGGTAGTATGCCTAGCCAGGTGTGGCTGTTTATATGTTGATGAATTAAAATTGGGTGCAGTTTAAAATTCGGTTCCTCATTTCCAGTAGGCACATTTTAATTGCTTCTATCCATTTGTAGCTACTGTATTAAATACTCAGGTATGGAACATTTCCTTATTACAGAAAAGTTTTTAACTTTGTATACCAATTTGTTATCGTTCGTGTGTGTGTGTGTGTGTGTGTGTGTGTGTGTGTGTTTCCCCAGTCATTTCATTCAGATTTATGTTAAAATAGATATAGAGTTATTTTTTAGTTTTTTTAAGTGAAAATAAATATCGTATTTTTGATGCTTACATCACCTGTTTCTTTATCTGTTGTACATAGTTATAAAGGTTTTTCTTTTCAAAGTTATCTGAGAAGAAAAGTGCCCTTGTTGTTATTTAAATCAGTATGCTCTAAATCTAAAGGGCTTTATTGTATACTACAAAAGTTTCAGGTTTGGAAATGTAATGTACCAAATACTGAAAACAGTCATCATCCCAACTGAAGTGTTAGGATTTTATTAGAGGTTTTCCTTTTTAAACAGATCATTTTTTTTCTTTACATATGGAGACCCTTAGTTATTTGACATGGTCAAATTTTTCAGCAGAGAACTGACTTATTTTAATGTGAGTGAATAGATGCAAGAGAAACTTTTATTTTTCTCCCCACACAGAATGGCATTCCCTTGGAAAAAAATAATAAGGTTGCTACAAAATTTCGGACAGTTGGAACTACTATCATTGAATTAATGATGTTGCTACTTGTTAACTACTGATGGACAGCTTAGAAGAAACTGTAATGTGTAGTTCATCCCACCTGTACCCTCTCATTACACACCTAGAAAAGATGTCCTTTAATCACAGTTTTATTGGCTTAGTGTGTTTTGCATATAGATGAGAACAAAAATTAATTTTAATTACAATTATTCTTTCTTGATAAATGCTATGTGTGTGTTTGTGTTTGTCTCTTCTAGCCTGCTTAGATCAGGTAAATTTGCATACAGAACATAGGGGATTATGCTGTTGAAAAGGTGATGGTTGGAAACTTGTGAACAATATCTTTTTTTGCATCTTAATGTTGCTCTCCATAGTGGTAATATAGTATGTGGAATAAAAATTAAACATTCTTGTTGAATAATATAAATCTAGGCTAGAATAATTGTGTAACTTGAGGCTGTAGTAAAGATAATCAGAGTTG